CACCAGGCACATAGTTCAGTTCTATACCTCAGTCAAGTATCTATTACCTTCAGTTGTTGAGAAAATGCTGTATATTTCAAAAATAAAATTGATAAAATTAAATAAAATTGGCATCATAGCCTAACTAAAAGCCTTGAAAATGGCCTTTGTCTACAGTTTCTGACATGCATACTTTAGCATGTTTCAAACAATGCTTCGGGGGAAGGGTTTTCTGTGAGGTGGGAGCTAGGCTGCAAAATTGAGCTTCAGGAAATAGATACAGTGGGTAAAATAAGTATTGAACACATCACCATTTTTCTCAGTAAATATATTACTAGAGGTGCTAAGGACATGAAATTTTCACCAGATGTCGGTAACAACCCAAGTGATCCATACATACAAAGAAATCAAACCATACATGTCCGGAAATGAAGTTCTTTGTAATAATGTGGAATGGCACAGGGAAAAAGTATTGAACAGATAAAGACAGGGAGGTGTAAAGAGGAGAGGAGTGAAAAGAATTATCAGAAGAGTTGTCCAAGAGCCAAGGACCACTTGTGGAGKGCTTCAGAAAGACCTGGAATTAGCAGGTTTATTTCAAAGAAAACAATAAGTAATGCACTCAACCGCCATGGCCGGTATGCACGCTCACCACGCAAGACTCCACTGCTGAAGAAACAGCATGTTGAAGCTCCTRTAAAGTTTGCTGCACAACATTTAYACAAGCCTGTGWAATACTGGGAGAATATAGTCTGGTCAGATGAGACCAAKATTGAACTGTTTGGATGCCAMAATACACATCATGTTTGGAGGTCAAATGGCACTGCACATCAGCCCAAAAACACCATACCAACAGTGAAGTTTGGAGGTGGGAACATCATGGCGTGGGGCTGGTTTTCAGCATATGGTACTGGCAAACTTCAAATAATTGAAGGAAGGATGAATGGAAAAATGTACAGAGACATTRTTGATAAAAATCTGCTTCCATCTACCAGGATGATGAAATTGAAACGCGGCTGGACATTTCAGCAAGACAATGAGCCCAAATACAAAGCCAAAGAAACTCTCAGTTGGTTTCAGAGAAAGAAAKTAAAGCTGCTGGAATGGCCCAGTCAATCACCTGACTTGAATCCAAGAGAAAATCTATGGAAAGAACTAAAGATCAGAGTTCATAGAAGAGGTCCACGACCTTCAAGATTTGAAGACTGTTTGTGTGGAAGAATGGGCCAAAATCACACCTGAGCAATGCATGCCACTAGTTTCTCCATACAGGAGGCATCTTTAAGCTGTCATTGCCAACAAAGTTTTTTGTACAAAGTATTAGATAAATTTCAGGATGTGCGTTCAATACTTTTTCCCTGTGCTATTCCACCTTATTACAAATAACTTCATTTCTGGACAAGTATGGTTTAATTTCTTTATATGTATGGATCATTTGGGTTGTTATTGACATCTGGTGAAAATTTCATGTCATTYGCACCTCTAGTAATATATTTACTGAGAAAAATGGTGATGTGTTCAATAGTTATTTTACCCGCTGTATGTACAAATAGGCGATACAACAGCTGACATTCGCGGTAACGCATTGTGTCGCTTTCTGTTTTGCTGCTGATAGCTTGTAAAATGTGTTTGCTCGAGGACTCTTAATTTTCTGGATTATCTACCTTCTACACAGTTCTACTTCTAGTACATAAAACACTTTCAATAGTCTTTTTCTCCTACTGTTGGAATATGCTTAAGACGKTTTTCATCTTTCAAAACTTCTTGCTTTTATTGGTGTTTTTGGGATCTGCTAGCTCTCGCTAGCATTAGCTTAGCATCATGGCTACTTCTCACCAGACTCCAACTGTTCACATATGTCAGATGTTTAGTTACTTCTCTGCTTCCTTTAGTGATAGGGACACATTTGATAATGTAGTATTATGGTAGTTTTGGAGGCAAAGCTGTCTGATATGGAAGCTCAGATCTGCGCTGTTGAAATACCAATAGCTAGCCAGAGACCCTTAGGCAGCGCGTGGCCACCGAGAGTAGCTTGTACCTCTATTAGCGGTTCTCCAGCAGTCCCCGTGCAGCCAGGAACCTAGGCCAGCTGGGTGACGGTTCGTAGTAAGCATGGTTCTAAGGCCAAGGCCAGGCCCCCAGTTCACCATGTTTATGTTTCAAACTGATTTTCCTCACTCAGCAACACACCCACTGAGAAATTGACCTTGGTATTCGGCTGCTCCATTGTCCGAAATGTCACTGGTGCCCAGATCCAGCAGTCACGGTGCGAGGGGCAGGGTACATCCTGGACAGAGTATCGAAACAGCACTGGTGAATGATATTCTCATGGCCTCAGACAGTGGATTTGTGTCCATTCTTGTCCTGATAGATCTCAGTTCTGCATTTGATACATTTGATCACAATATTCTATTACAGAGGCTTCAGATTCAACAAACGCTTCTAACTTCTGGAAAAGTGTGTAGATGAGAAGCGTAAACTTGATGAATCCCACCTGTTTGTATTCAGGTGCTCATGCGAGGAGAGGAAATTAGCATAATTACCATCCCAAAAACACCATATAAGGGTATGCTTCCTGCCCCATATTCCAGAAAGTGTCCATTCATGAAAAAGAAAAAGTAAAAAGAACTTCACAAGTTTGGAGATTGAAGTCCTGCTCTCAGAGCTCCAGAAAAGAAAATCTGTCATTTTTAGCAGCTTCAGCTGTGGAAATAAAGGAGTTGCTAAAGCCGAGGAATGAAATGACGACTGCTGGTAATGCTGTGTCTCCCGTGATTCGTATACAGTCACAGAAATAACAATCCGAATCATATTCATCTCTCTCTAGTCCTGCTCTTGTTTTCCTTTGGTGAAATATTTTTAATTTATGTGCAATCAACTGAGTAAAATAATTTTCATTTATTCAGAAGAAGACCAATGTGCCAGTCGCCTGCTATCTCCCACACATGCAAGTGGTGTCAGATGTGGTTTGAAGCATTTTAAAATGTCTCCAAAATATGTCTTGCACTTTGGAGAAATGTAGGCATTATGGTGTAGATGAATGGGTTTTGTTTGTGGTGGGTGCAGATGGGAAGTGCATGGTGCAGGCGGCTGTTACAGTTGCAGACAGCCTGTTGATTTGTATGTGCTGTGTAGTTTGTAGTGGAATACGACTTACATGATTTGCATATTCCGGTGGGTGAAAGCGTACTGTTTGAGTCAAACTCAAACTGTACATTGGGTGTTTGTTATGTTTGTGCTTTATGGAGAGGGTGGGGGTCCAGCAAGGAGGATTCAATCATAGTAGGATGGGACCGGGGGTTGGTGTGGGCGTTATGGTGTAGATGAGTGGGTTTTGTTGTTTGTGGTGGGTGCCGATGGGAAGTGTATGGTGCAGGCGGCTGTTACAGTTGCAGACAGCCTGTTGATTTGAATGTGCTGTGTAGGTTGTAGTGGAATACGATTTACGTGATTTGCATATTCCGGTGGGTGTAGGCATACTGTTTGAGTAAAACTCAAACTGTACATTGGGTATTAGTTATGTGGTGCGCTTTATGGAGAGGGTGGAGGGTTTAGAAAGGGGTACGTGACCAGGGGCAAGGGGGGGTTGTTTTTTTTTTGTTTAGGTAATGTGTCAGGGTTTGGCTTATTTCCCAGTGGTAACCCTAGGCGATAGGTCAGGGTTGGGCCTGTGTTTGAGTAGTTATTCTTAGGTTTTGGGTTAGGACTGGGCCTATGTCTGAGTGGTTGTCATCAGTACTGGGTAGGGGTCAGGCCCATGTTAAAGTGGTTAACCTAAGTGGTAGGTCAGGATTGGGCCTATGCCTGAGTGGTTAAATTCAATGATGGGTCTGGGCTGGGCCTTTGTTTGAGTGGTTAGTCTGAGTAATGGGTCAGGGTTTAATATATGTTTGAGTGCTTAACCTGAGTGGTGCATTAGGGTTGGCCCTGTATTCGAGTAACCTAAGTGAAGGGTCATGGTTAGGCCTATGTTTGAGTGGTTATATTCAGTGATGGGTCTGGGCTGGGCTTTTGTATGAGTGGTTGGCCTGAGTGATGGTCAGGTTTGAGCCTATGTTTGGGTGGTTAACCTGAGTGGTGTGTTAGGGTAGGGCCTATATTCGAGTGGTTAACCTAAGTGGAAAGTCATGGTTGGACCTATGGTTAAGTGCTAAAATCCAATAATGGGTCTGGGCTAGGTCTTTGCTTGAGTGGTTAGCCTGATATATGGGTCAGGGTTGAGCCTATGTTTGAGTGGTTAACCTGAGTGGTGTGTTAGGGTTGGGTCTATATCCTAGTGGTTAACCTAAGTAGAGGATCATGGTTAGCCCTGTGTTTGAGTGGTTAACCTACAGTAAGTGGTGGGTCAGGGTTGGATCTATGTTTGAGTGGTTGACCGAAGTGGTGAGTCAGGGTTGGACCTACTGTATATCCGAGTGGTTAACCTAAGTGGAGGGTCATGGTTAGCCCTGTGTTTGGGTGGTTAACCTAAGTGGTGTGTCAGGATTGGGCCTATGTTTGAGTGGTTAACCTAATATTCCCAGAGGTCAAGTTAGTGTTTTTTTATGCTGGGTGAGGATGAATTGGAATGCTAGTTCAATCCATTCTGTGATGGTTCTATGTGCCATGGTTTTGGAGTGCTCCCGGTCAGGGTTAGGCTGTAAAGTCTAAAAAACATGAATGGAAGTCAATGGAAGGTCCGCACGGTGTCAAGAAACAAACGTGTGTGTGTGTGTGTGTGTGTGTGTGTGTGTGTGTGTGTGTGTGTGTGTGTGTGTTGTATAAAAGACTAAGAATGATTATTTGTATTACTTGTTCTTGGAGATGGAGATCCACACACAATCACATTTGAGATGCCACATTCACTTTGAGGAGCAATGACACAGAAATCACAAACATATAAAAACTATATTTTCGATTGAAATAAAATTGGATTAAGTTAAAGTTTAAGTTGTTAGTTATCAGTTACTCTCTGGTATTGAAACTCACAAATAAGACTTGTTTTTTTTCTAAACAGTTTTTTTCTGCTTTCATTTTTCTAGATTAACTTCTTCATTTTCATCAGGATAATTAAAATCCTTATGTCTAAGCTCCGAGCTCATCAGATGAGATACACCGACTACAAATTCAGGTGAGAGGAAACATGTCAATGATGCTGAGAAGAGTGGTGACATTAGGTCATAGAGATTCTAAAAATAAATGTTTATGAACAATTCAGAAATAAAACAGCTTCTGATTCACCCAGGCTGTATTGTTTCTCATGCTGTGTTTGTGCAATTAGTTTATATTGTTGTTTAAAGTATTTTGCACATCATATTTCCTCCACTGAATCATCACCCTATTGTGGTGGAGGAATTTATGCGCCTGAATGCACATGGCACTAGGACACCCTGGGTTGCAGATCGATGGTTGACTTTAAAGTCATGTCATCTGATCTGTGGCCGTATGTTTTGGACACTCAGGTGACGAGGGGCGTTGAGATGTCAACTGATCACCACCTGGTAGTGACTTGGATCAGATGGAGGGGGAAGATGCCGGACAGACCCAGTAGACCCAATTGTGTAGTGAGGGTTTGCTGGGAACGCTGGGCAGAAGAACCTAAAAGAAAGATCTTCAACTCACACCTCCGCCAAGTGGGGGACATTGAGTCTGAGTGAGCCATGTTTTGTGCCTCCATTGTTGAGGCAGCAACCCTGAGCTGTGGCCGCAAATTCGTTGGTATTTCTCAGGGTGGCCATCCTCAAACTTGGTGGTTAGGGTCCGGGAGGCTGTCAATCAGAAGGAGTCCTATTGGGCCTTGTTGGCCATTAGGACTACATAGTCAGTTGAAGAGTATCATCAAGCAAAGCAGATCACAGCCATCGCTGTTCCTGAGGCAAAAGCTCGGATGTGGGAGGAGTTCAGTGAGGCCATAGACAAGAGTCCCGATCTGCTCTGAGGAGATCCTGTCAAACCAACCTGCGGCTTAGGCGGGGAAAGCAGCACTTTACTATCATTGTGTTCAGTGTAGGTGGGGTGCAGTTGACATCAACCAATGATGTCATCAGGAGGTGGAAGGAATACTTCCCAGACCTTCTCAGTCTCATCGTACTTCATGTATGGAGAAAGCAGAGTCTGAGGACTTTGAGGTTGGCCTGTCCATAACTAGGGCTGAGGTCACTGAGGTAGTTTAAAAGTTCCATGGTGGCAGGGTTTTGGTGGTGGACAAGATCAGCCCTGATTTCCTTAAGAATCTGGATGTTGTTGGGCTGTCTTGGTTGACATGCATTTGCAACAGTGCTTGGACATCGTAGCAGTGCTACTGGGATGGAAGACTGGGGTGGTGGTTCCCCTCTTCAAAAGGGGGACCGGAGGGTGTGTTCTAATTATAGGAGCATCACCCTTAGCCCCCACTTAGCCTCCAAGAAGAGAGTCCCATTGATGGTCAAATGTCAGAWTCAAGAGGAATAATGAGTGTTCAGGTCTGGACCAGATCTTTACCCTCACTAGAGTTCTCAAGGGGTTATGGGTGTTTGCCCATCAAGTCTACACATGTTTTGTGGACCTGGAGAAGGCATTCAACTGTGTTCCTCAAAGTACATTGTGGGGGGTGCTATGCAAGTATGGGATTGTGGACCCATTGTTATGGGCCATTCAGTCCCTTTACAAGCGGTGTGAGAGTATGTTCCACATCGCTGGAAGCAAGTCYAACCCCTTCAGGGTGAAAGTTGGACACCTCCAGGGGTGCCCCTTGTCACAGATTCTGTTTATAACTTTTATGGACAGAATTTCTCAGTGCGGCCAGGGGATAGAGGGAGTCCGGTTCGGTGGCCTCAGGATTCCATCTCTGCTGTTTGCAGATGATGTTGTCTAGTTGGCATCATTGTATTTTGATCTTCAACTATCATTGGAGCGATTTGCAGCAGAGTGTGAAGAGGATGGGATGAGGATCAGCACCTCCAAATCTGAGGCTATGGTCCTCAGTTGGAAAATGGTGGATTGCTCTCTCCAGGTTGGGGATGAGGTTTTTCCTCGAGTGGAAAAGTTCAAGTATCTTGGGGCTTTGTTCCAAGTGAGGGGAAAAAAGGAGCATAAGATTGATTGACAGACTGGTGCTGCTTCTCCAGTACTGCAGACTCTGTACTGTCAGTCATAATGAAGAAGGAGCTGAGCTGTAAGGCAAAGCTTTCTTTTTTGTGGGGTTGGTCTTTGTTCCTACCCTTATTTATACTCACAAACATTTGGTAGTGACCGAAAGAATGAAACCATGGATAAAAGCGGTCAAAACTACTTTCATTTTTTGAAGTCTTACAGATTTTTTTGGAACCTCATTTTCAAATTTATCTAACATGTCAGATTTGATTTGATTTATTTATTTAACAGGAAAATATTAATAAATATCAAGCCTGACCCAYCATAATTGCTGTTTWACAGCAGGTTCCTGTTCTGCAGCACATAAAACACTCAGAAWTACAGCATCACAATCACATCATTATACACCATAGACACAAAAACAAACAAGCATACCAAATTTCAAAAAGGCAGCATTTGCAAAATAGGACGTCTAAATATGAGCACAACAAAAAGTGTCCAGCAGATGGCAGACAAGATTCTTCTTAAAGGGCTGTAGTTATGAAATGGACTTTATGTTTTGAGGAATGTCATTCCATGCTTTAGTATAAACATAGAAGAAAGACCTCTGGCTGTAACGGTTTTTAAACGTTGGTAATATCAGTTGTCCTTTTGTAACAGATCTTGTTGAATGACCACTTCCAGAATTTGATTTGGGCAGCAATGCATAGAGAGTTCCATACTTGGCACCTTGTAAGATTTGAAACTATAAATTAATACCACTATACAAAACATAATTCTGAAAAGTCAAGGCATCAGACAATGAAAYAACTGTACAGTGATGAGTCCAACCAGGAAGTTTGTTTATGAATTTTGTAGGCCTSTTATAGAGCCTAACTATGGGTTCTAAGATTTCATTTGTTGTAAGAGACCAAACAGGTAAACAGTACAACATTGTTGAGAGTATAATGGCATGAATATAGATATTTGAAACAGAAGATGTCGGATTGGATCTAATTTTTGAATAAACATATAATTTRTGTTTCAACTTAGTGGTTAAGACTTGTACATGATCACGATAAGTCAAATGAGAATCCAAAGTAATTCCAAGATATTTGTAGGTAGTGACAATATCAAGGGGTTTGTTTAAAAAAAGTGAGCTGGTTTGTTATATTGAAATGTCTCCTGGGTGAGGAAAAATACATGCACACAGTTTTTTGACATTAATTGACAAAAGATTATCTTGAAGCCAACCATGAAATGTCTGAAGATCTGTTTGTAACTGACTATTAACAGATTCAATATTGAAATCAGACAAAAAAAGACCAGTATCATCAGCATACTTTAAAATATTTGAATA